TCAGTTCTGGGACTCCAATGTATAGCATGGTGACTATAATCACCAATATTGTAGTATATATTTGAAAATTGTCAAGACAATAGATCTTAGATGCTATCAGCACACACAAACACACAAACAGTAATGATGTGAGGGTATTCACTAACATTGTGGTAATCACTTTGCAATATATATGTATATCAAATCATCACAACGTACACCTTAAACTTGCAGGTGTTATATGTCAATAACATTTCAATAAACTGGGGGAAACACTAATTCTAAATGAGACCTGGCTGTCAGGAAAGGTTAGACAACACTCAGCTGTTCTGCTGCAGGAAGGAGATGAAGGCAGAGGCCATTTTAGGAAGATTTCCACTCAGTGGGGTTCCCATTAAGTTGGGCACATAAAGGATAGGACTGTCCTGGCACGTTAGAGTGACTACCTGGTGATTAGTTACTGGAAACAGTTCATTTTAGGCAAGCTCTGGATTTAATGAATGACATGGCTCAACTTCTGAGAAAAAAACCAGAACTTTCAACTTCCTATTTCTCAATGGTCTTTATCATTCAAATCCCAATTCCCTGGAAGAAAGAACACTCCTAAAGTCTTGGGTTTTCACTTGGGCAAAAAATCTAAACAGTTTCTCTGTTTTAGAAGGAAACGGCAGTTCTGGACAAATAAAAAACTGTTCAAGCCTATAGAGAAGCCCAGTGCTGACTACTGGCTATTGTGAATAATCCTGCTACAGTTACATGACCCACAGGTTGAGAACTGCTAGCAGGGTCACCTAAGAACATTGGAAAACATAGATATTTACATTACGATTCATATCAGTAGCAAAATTACAGTTATGAAGTAGCAATGAAAATAATTTTATGGGTGGGGTCACCACAACATGAGGAACTGTATTAAAGGGTCGCAGCATTAGAAAGGTTGAGAACCACTGCCTTAGATAGTCTCCAGTCAAAAGAGCATGTAGGTAAATGGGGTACCAGGAATCTTCACAACCACATCAAAATTACAACTAGAGAACAACCATCATTCAGAATGCCTGAAACCCAACTGAACACAAGTTCTATAACTAAGGATATAAAGAAGCCACATCAAAGTTTGAGGGGGAGTGGAGATGCAGACTGGGCAGGTCCCACACCCAGTTTCAGTCCCCCATTAGGAGCCAGGTGTCCCAGCCCCACACCAGGCCCCGCAGCCCAGGTGCTGGGAAGAGAAGCCCCTATAACTTTTCACTATCAAAACCATCAGGGATTGTGGCTGAGTCACATGGAATCCCAGATGTTCCTCTTAAAGGGCCCAAACAGATTTACTCAGACTCACTCCCTTTGAGCTCCAGCTTAGGGGCAGCAGTTCAAAGGTGCCAGGGACACATAGGGAGGAATTGAATTATTGGCATCAGGGCAAGGGCCAAAGGGGCAGTGTTCTCCCAGACAAGTGCTGACAGAGACAATTGTTCCTTTGCTGAGCACCCCTCCCACTCTCCAGACCAGAAGACGGGTTCCATATCAGAGTTTCCATCAACTTGGCTAACTGTTCACCCCATCCTGGTGATTTCCTCAAACCCCCACCCCACTCAACTTTGGGGTCCCCCTAAGCCTTTCCAGTGGATTTTCCATACCAAGAGACTATCTTGGCTCATGTTGCTGACCTTCTTAAAATCTTGTAAACAAGTAGCATCTGGTCTCAGCAAGCCTCACACCTCTTGCTAAGTGGCCCCAGGCCCAGCACTAGCAGCAGCCAGCCTTGGTCCATAAGTTAGCCTCTCCTGGGTACCTCCAAGCCATATGAAGATAGCTTTGTAGCTCATGCCAGATGGCCTCAGGCAGGTCACAGATGGTGGCTGACCTTGGCCTGCACCTTCCTAAAGGCCCAAGAGCCACTGCATATGGTGGACAGCTTCAGATCACATGGAAGCACTACCTCCACTAATGACACATTCCAGGGGTGGACTCAGTGGGTATCTGAGCCCGTTGAAGAGAGTACTGCTCCATGGGGTTGGCCCCTGCACTGTTGATTCTCTTCTGTGGACACAGCTGGCCCTCACAACCGAAGGACCTATGGATCAAGCTCTCTCACTGACATTCCAACAGCAGTTAAGGCTCAACTACAACAGGAGGGTGCACCCAGCTCAGGTGAGGAGGGAGGCTGCGCCACTGGGCCCTACAGGACACCTACTACGTAGGCCACTCAACAATTCCGGAGATATAGCAATTCTACTTAATACATAGAAACAAACTCTGGCAGGCAGCCAAAATGAGGAGACAAAGAAACATGTCCCAGTGAAAGAACAGGACATTATTCCAGAAAATAAACGAAATAAATGGAGACAAGTAATCTACCAGATGCAGAGTTCAGAACACTTGTTATAAGGATGCTCAATGAACTTAGGGAGAAAGTAGAGGAACTTAGTGGGAACTTCAACAAAAAGATAGGAAACATAAAAATGGATGTAGAAAACATAAAAAAGGACCTATCATAAATGAAAAAATTACATAAATGAAATGAAGAATACATTAGGAGGAATCAACAATTTGGTAGATAAAGTAGAGGAAAGAATCAGCGATTTGGAACATAAGGTAGCAGAAAACATCGAATCAGAAAAACAAAAAGAAAAAGGAATTTAAAAAAATGAGGATAGCTTACGGGATCTCTTGGACAATATCAAAAGTACCAACATTCACATAATGGGGGTGCCAGAGGAGAAGAGAGAGAGCAAGAAAATGAAAACCTGTTTAAAAAAATTATGACAAAAAATTTCCCTAGCTTGGTGAAGGAAAAAGAAATGCATTTTAGGAAGCACAGAGAGTCCCAAATAAGATGAACCCAAGGAGATCCACACTAAGACACATCATAATTATAATGCCAAAGGTTAAAGACAAAGAAAGAATCTTAAAAGAAGAGAAAAACAGTCAGTAACCTACAAAGGAGTGCCCATAAGACTCTGAACTTACTTCTCAACAGAAACTTTTCAGGCCAGAAGGAATTGGCAGGAAATATTATTCAAAGGGACAAAAAGCCAGGACCTATAACCAATGTTACTCTACCCAGCAAAGCTATCATTTAGAATTGAAGGTCAGATAAAGAGCTTCACAGACAAGAAAATTCTTAAGGAGTTAATCACCACCAAACTACAATAGCATCATAAGAAATGTTAAAGGGTCTTCTGAAAGAAAGAAAGGAAGGAAGGAAGGAGATAAAAAAATATGAATCATAAAATGGCAATAAATACATACTATCTATCAATAATTACTTTAAAAGCTCCAATAAAAAAAACCAAGGTGACTGAATGGATAACAAAACAAGACCCTTACATATGCTATCTACAAGAGACTCACTTCACATTAAAAGATACATACACAAACTTAAAGTAAAGGGATGGAAAGAGATATTTCATGAAAATAGAAACAAATAAACAAAAAGCTGAGGTAGCAATACTTGTACCAGACAAAATAGACTTTAAAACAAAAGCTATAATAAGAGACAAAGAAGGATCCAGCAATTCCACTTCTGGATATTTATATGAAGAAATACAGAACACTAAATTGAAAAAAACATATGCATCCATATGTCTATTGCAGTATTATTTACAACTAGAGGCCTGGTGCACAAAATTTGTGCACTTGGGTGGGGGGGGTCCCCTCAGCCCGGCCTACACCCTCTCGCAGTCTGGGAGCCCTCGGGGGATGTCCAACTGATGGCTTAGGCCCATGCCCCGGCACTCAGACTTCCTTAGCACTGCCACAGAGGCAGGAGAGGCTCTTGCCACTGCTGCTGTGCTTACTAGCCGTGAGCCCAGCTTCTGGATGAGTGTACTGACCAGCAGGGGGCAGCTCCTTCATTGAGCATCTGCCCCTTGGTAGTCAGTGCATATCATAGTGATCAGGCATTCTGCCGTTCAGTCAATTTGCATATTAGCCTTTTATTATATAGGACAGCCAAAAAATGGAAGCAACCTAAGTGTCCATCCATAGATGAACAGATAAAGAAAAAGTGGTGCATATATATAACAGAATATGACTTAGCCATGAAAAAGAATGAAATCTTGCCATTTGTATCAACATGGATGGACCTAGAGGGTATTGTGCTGAATAAAGTCAGACAGAGAAAGACAAATTCCATGTCTTCACTTATATGTGGAGTCTCAAAAATAAAAATAAAAACAAGCAGAACAAAAATAGACTCATAGATACAAAAACATTCTGATAGATGCCAGGTTGGAGGCGGCAGGGGTGTTGGGGAAATGGGTGAAAAAGGTGTAGTTATAAAATAGGCATGGGGAGGTAAAGTGCAGCATAGGGAATACAGGCAATAATATTGTAGTGACTATATATGGTATCAGATGAGTACTAGATTTATCCAGGTGATAACTTTGTAAGTTATATAAATGTCTAATCACTGGTTGTACACCTGAAACTAAAATAATATTATATGTCAACTATAATTTAAAAATAAAAAGGTTTTTTTTTTTAAAGAATTTTTTCAGCTTCTAAGACAGAAGTCACACGGGAAGTTGTCCCTTTTAATTTTCTGACATATTAAGGAAGGGCAGAAATCTGTCTGTTTCTTCTTGACAGGAGTCCGTTGGCTGACTTTTTCAAGAACCTCCCAGTGATGATCACTTTTTACTCCAGAATCCACAGCTGGCTTCCTCACTCGCTGTGAAGTCTGGGTAAATCCCTAGACCTCTCTGAGCCTCGGTGTTTTCATCCCAGGGAGGGAGATGATGAAACCTGTTTGGGAAGGTTATTGCAAACATTTGCATTAACATCTGAAAAGCTCAGCAGCAGGGCAGGTTCTGGGGTGGAAGTCAGCAGTTTATACAGGAAACTGGCACCCAAGGGTGCTATGGGAATGCTCCACTGACCCTCTTGGTGCACACTCCATGCCCTCAATGCACACATCAGAGGCTGTGCTGAGTGGACAGAGGGAAAGGCCTGAGAGTGAGGCCAGGTCGGGAGCATGGACTTTACAAGGTGCTTTCCCGTCCACCACGGACAGTACTCACTGTTAATGCCAGCATCACTTCTCTGTAGTTCCGGTTCCCGTTTAGCCGCTTCTTCAGCGCTCGAATGGCATCCTTTGGCCTGGAGAAAAGGACATATTAAGATCCTTAAAAATTACATTTTGGGACACTGTCCCACAGATTCACTGCCATTTTTGTGAACTAGCATTCTACAGAGTTATTTGCTTAGCATGTTTATAACTGTAAAAGGCTGGAAATAAACTAAACAAAGCCTGTGTATCCACATAATGGAGTACTATGCAGCTGCACAAAGAACACACTCCTGTGAATCACCACAGAGCAGACCATGTGAACAGTCATCTGCAGAGTAGTGCATAGGATGTGCTCCTGAGTGAGTTACCCGAGGACCACAGACAGACACAGACACAGGGCACACGCTGAAAGAGCCACAGAAGCTGCTAACTTCGGCTGCCCCTTCCGAGGGAACTGGGGGACAGAGGGGACAGGGAGGTTTTTCACTTTGTCTATTTGCAGCCCTTTTGACTTTGGTATCACATACAGGTATTTGTCCAAAACAAAAAGTGGGCTGCTTTTTTCCCTCTCTCTGTGGTCTCCTCAGTGGGCGTGGGTACACTGAGGAGACCACAGAGAGAGAATGGCCAGGCCCTGGCATAGGCCTGGGGTTCAGCTCCTCCCCAGTTCCATGGAACCTCTTTTTCCCTGAGAAAACTTTAAAAGAAAACTTTAGTCTCCTCAAAACCCAAGGAACTGTGTGCTTTTAGGTAAGGGATCTGTTGTGGATTCCCAGAGAATCTCACAGAATTACAGGCAGGCCCTGTGTACAAGGCCTATTCAAAAGCTCACCTATCAGTTCATTATTTGGAACTTGAAACACATTCTTCCTTAAGTCACTGTTGGAAGTGGGAGTAGAGTCCCCAGCAGCCCCCTAACAAGTACAGTCCTTATATCTGGCCTGTTATTTAATTTACTCTATGTCAGGATTAAACAAAGGTGTGGACCTAGGAGGCACTTCCGGCATGGAGCCCCAGCTGGCTGGCCCCGGCAAGCCCTATCACCTGACCAGCTGTAGGCCTGCTTTTTGCTCTCACAGTGGCGGCCTTCTAAAGATTCACGTGTCAATATATCTGATCTTTCCAAAGTTGAAGGTTGGTAAGTCAGAAACCTTCTATTCCTCCTGAAATATTTATGATCTACTTACCAAATAAAAAAGTCCTTTAATATGTGTATGTGGGGGGGGGGGGTGTGTGTGTGTGTGGAAGCTCGGCTAATCAGCCCTATTTAAACAGAAACACAGCAAGGCAAGGCTTCAAGAAATGTAAAGCCCTGGCCGGTGTGGCTCGGAGGTTAGAGTGTCAGCTCGAAGGGTCACGGGTTCAATTCCCGGTCAAGGGCACATATCTGGGTTGCAGGTTTGATGCCCCTGCCCCTGTCAGGGTGCATGTACGGAAGGCAACTAATCAATGTATCTCTCTGATAGAGATGTTCCTCTCCCTCCTTCCTTCCCTTCTAATCTCTCTAAAATGAATCAATGTGGAAAGAATGAAGAAATTTAAAAATACCTGAGACCTATTTTCCCCTCCCAACTTGAAAAATGGCTGCCTGCAGGAAGCCTTGGCTCTGAGTCCAAGGGCAGATGAGACAAGGCTCTCTGGGGAATGTGTCCTTGCAGGTGTTTGCAGTATGGCTGCCTCCACACAGGAATGCTGATTTCTGCAAATGTGGGACTTGACGATCTCTCAGCTTTGAGGGCTGTTTGTGGACTTGAGCTGGTGAAGGTCACAGCTACTGGCCAGCAGCATGGAGTGGCTTCCTCTCTCCAGGGCTCTGCCAGCCCAGTGAGCCCTGGCCATGGCAGCCACCTCAGTCAGTCTCACTCCTCTCCTGATCTGCCGTGGAGCAGAGGAGTGGGAACAAGCTCCGGGCAGAGCACCCAGAGCTCCCAGCGGGGGATGTGCCGGGGGAAGCAGCCAGCAGGCCCCTCCCTGGAGCCACAATGAAAACTCACCCTCAGAAGGACTACCTGGGGGTGACTGGCTATTCTCCTACCACTTTGGAGACAGTTCAAGGCGAAATAGCAATAATAAATTCCATTTGTATGGTGTGGCGGAGGGCCAAATATAGACTACTTTGGAAGAAGTGTAACTAGAATGCAGCTATGAAGTAGAAGAGGCTATATCATGCATAACAATAAGCACAGACTCGGTAACTCAGGGATACCCACTGCGGAAACACCAGGCTGCTCTGTGGGCACTCTCTCTGACTCCTGGGGCCCCAGCCCAGGAAAACATGGCAGAGATAGCCCCACATCTGTGAAGGGAAGGCAGAGGTTGAGAAGGAACGGGGGCAGGGGCGACAGCCTGGCTATGGAGACCAACGACTACCGGGAACCAAGTAACCAAGCAACTTCATTTTCACTGACGAGTGAAGGCAGGTTATTAAAAGAGGTTGCCAGGGCTCTGACTCAGCACTGCCATCGGGGAAATGGGGGCAAAGCGGATAGGAAGATGAAAGATAATTAAAGAGCGTTAGCGTATTGCCCGGGCCAGTGTGGCTCAGTTGGTTTGAGTGTTGTTCCATGTCCCAGAAGGTCGCAGGTTCGATTCCAGGTTAGGGCACACACTCAGGTTGCAGTTTGATCCCGGTTGGGGCATGCACAGGAGACAATGGATCAATGTATCTCTCTCACATCAATGTTTTCCTCCCCGTCCCCTTCTCAATTTGAAAAAGGTCAGCATATTAAATGTCAAAGCAAACAGACTGAAAACCAAACAAAAAGTAAAACAGCCAACATCCTTCAGCCCTGCCAGGCTCTGCGTGACACCCGGAACCGACAAGCATCCCGGGCGGTGAGGGGAGCACCTACCCCTCCTCCGTCTCGTTGACGATGTCGCAGATCTCCATGTTCAGCGTCCAGTCCTCGCTCTGCAGGGAGCCATCTGTCGCCTTTTCTGTAAAGTCAGAGAGAAAGCTGGTTTACATTTCTTCTGAATGAGGGGTTCTGGCAGGAATCAGAACCACCACATCTCCCAGATGGTCGGAGTCTACAGAGCAGTTCTAGGGTTCTGTTTCACAAAAGAACACCCAGCGAGAGAGAGATCTGGGCCTAGAGGCTAATGTCATAACACTGTCCTTTCACCAAACTCCAGGCAGAAAAGCTCTAAGCTGTTAAAAATCACTCAACTCCTCCCATTCAACAGACAGGCACATCTTCCTGCGCAGTGCCAGGTCACAGCAGCCACAACCCGAGACACGATGGTGAAAATCAGAGTAAACTGATTTGGCCACATTGGGCGCCTGGTCACCAGCTCCGCTTTTAACTCTGGCAAAGCAGATAGTTGCCATCAATAACCCCTTCATTGACCTCAACTATGTGGTCTACAGCAAGCATGTCAAACTCAAAGCCTGCAGCCCGCATGCAGCCCACAACAGACATTTTTGTGGCCCAGCCAATATAACCTATGTAAGAAACATTTTAATAAAAATTTCATAACTTAATTTTTACAATATCCTGTTATACATAATTGTTAATAACAAACTACAACATTTGCTAATGACTGATGACTATAATCTTGTTGCATTCATTTCCCTTACGCGCCTTACACGCAGGCACACCATTTCTCTCCACTAATACTAGCAGCAAATATTTTAGCAGCCGAATGCCACGTCATTAATCCTGGACTGACTTGTTTGGTATGTGCAACAGGAAATATTTCACTTTTGGAGAACAAGAATAGGTTTATTTGTGTTACATTTATTAATTTGTGCAGTTATTCAGTGTCTGGTAAGTTCATGTTCAAGAAAAACATTAATTTTTATTAAAATGTTCTATTATTTTATATTAACTATTACTCATTTATTTCATCCCTTTGTATTCAGCATGTCTATTGAAATAGTCTACATTTCTATGAAAATTGAAGTTTTTTATTTTTTTGTGGCCCACATAAATTTAAACATTGTTTATTTGGGCCGTGTTAGCCTTTGAGTTTGACACGCTTGATCTACATGTTCCAGCATGATTTACCAATGGCAAGTTCAAAGGCACAGTCAAGGTTGAGAAGAGGAAGTTTGTCATCAGTGGAAAACCCATCCCCATCTTTCAGTAGTGAGAGCCCACCAACATCAAATGGGCGATGCTGGTGATGAATATGTTGGAGTCACTGTGACTTCACTACCCTGAAGAAGGCCGGGGCTCACTAGAAGGGCAGCCAAGAGGGTCATCATCTCTGTCCCTCCTGTGGATGCCCCATGTTTGTGATGATGTGAACTATGACAACTCCCTCAAGATTGTCAGCAATGCCTCCTGCACCTCCAGCTGCTTGGTGCCTCTGGCCAAGGTCATCTATGACAACTTTGGCATCAAGGAGGGACTCATGATCATGGTCCATGCCATCACTGTCAGCTGGAAGACTGTGGATGGCCCCTCTGGGAAGCTGTTGTGTGATGGCTGAGGGGGGCTGCTCAGAACATCATCCCTGCTTCTACTGGTGCTGCGAGGCTGTGGGCAAGGTCATCCCTGAGCTGCATAGGAAATTCACTGGCATCGCCTTCCCCATCCCCTGTGTGTTGGTGATGGATATGACCTGCTGTCTAGAGAAAGTGGCCAAATACTATGACACAGAGAAGGTGGTGAGGGTTGCAGGCTCATCCATAGTAGGAGGTGTGCAGGAAGCAGCCAACCAGTGATTCTCTCTCATCATTGTTATTTCTCTCTTTCCTTCTCCCTTTCTTGGTCTGAAATAAAAAAAAAAAAGGTGATGAAACAGGTATCCGAGGGATCTTCAAGGACGTCCTGGGTGCCTTGACCGGTTTGGCTCAGTAGATAGAGCGTCTGCCTGCATACTGAAGGGTCCCAAGTCCGATTTCAGTCAAGGGCATGTATTATACCTCAGTTGCGGGCACATCCCCAGTAGGGAGTGTGCAGGAGACAATTGATCAATGTTTCTCACGCTCTATCCCTCTCCCTTCCTCTCTGTAAAAAAAATCAATAAAATATATATATATTTTAAAAGGATGTCCTGGACTATACTGAGGACCAGGCTGTCTCCTATGATTTTATCAGTGACACCTACTCTTCCACCTTCAATGCTGGGGCTGGCATTGCCCTGAATGACCACTTTGTCAGCTCATTTCCTGGTCTGACAATGAGGCTGGTGGACTTTATGGTCCCCATGGCCTCCAAGGAGTAAGAGCCCTTGGACCACCAGCCCCAACAAGAAGAAGAGGGCCCTCAGCTGCTGGGGGCTCCTTACCCCAGATCAATCCCCCAACACACTGAGAATCTCCCAAACCCCACCGCTTCCATCTCAGACCCCCTGAAGAAGGGGAAGGACTAAGAGAGTATTACCTTGCTATGCACCCAGCCAAAAGAAAAACAAACAAACAAACAAACAAACAAACAAACAAACCGGGAGATGTTACGTTTACTAGCCCACAAATTCTGGAGCCAAACTACCCGGGTTTGAATACAGGCTCCACCACTTACTACATATGTGATGCAGGCAAGTTACTTAACTTCTAAGCGTCAAATTTCCTCACTGTACACTAGTGAAAACAACAGCACCTACCCCATAGCGTTGTTAGGACAATTCAGTGAGTTAACATATGTAAAGCCCTGGGAATAAAACCTCACACAGAGTCAGTACCTTTAGGCAGTTGCTTTCATAATTATTAAAAACCTACTCCGGTAGTTAAAAACTACATCTCAAATAAGGGGGCAAGAGAGGGACCATCACTTTTTAAAGATACAGCTAGGCATGCTATCAAGTGCTTCGTGTATAGTACTTTATTTCATCCAAGAAATGAATTCTTGACCACTAAGTGGGGAAGGAGAGTCTTTTCAACAAATGGTGCTGGGAAAACTGTATACCCATATACAAAAGAATAAAATTAGACCCTCATCTTACACCACACACAAAAACTGATTGAAAATGGATAGAAGATGTAAACCTAAGCTAAAGCTCTTAGAAGAAAAAATGAAAGAAAGCTTTGTAACATGGGACTTAATAATAATTTCATGAATATGACACCAAAAGAACTGATAAGTGGTTAATATCCAGAATATTTAAAGAATTCTTACAACTCAACAATAAAAAACACTCCCAAAAGGACAACAAAAACACAATTGAAAAATGGGAAAAGAACCAGAAAAGACATTTCTCCAACTTCTGTACACTGTTGGTGGGAATATGAAGTGCAGTAGCTGCTATGGAAAGTAACATTGCAGTTCCTCAAAAAATTTAAAAAGAAACACCATATGATCTAGCAACTCCATTTCTGAGTATATACCCAAAAGAATTGAAGGCAGGGTCTCAAAGTAGATTTGTACACCCAGATTCATAGCAGCATCACTCACAATAGCCAAAAGGTGGAAGTAACCCAGGTGTCCATCAATGGACAAAGATATAAACAAAATTTGGTACATACATACAATGGGATTTTTTTGGCCTTAAAAAGGAAAGAAATTCTGACACATGCTACAGCATGAACGAATCCTGAGGACTTAATGCTAAGTGAAATTAACCAAACAGAAAGAGCATACTATATGATTCCACCTATACGAGGTACTAGAATAGTCAAATCCATGAGACAGGAAGTAGAATGGCGACTGCTGCAGATTGGGAGAAGGCAATGGGGAGTTGTTAAATAGGTACAGAGTTTCAGCTTTGCAAGATAAAAAAGATGGCCCTCGCTGGTTTGGCTCAGTGGATAGAGCATCAGCTTGCAGACTGAAGGGTTCCAGTTTCTATTCCGGTCAAGGGTACGTAACTTGGTTCCAGGCTCAATCCCTGGTACTGGTCTGGGCATGTGTGGGAGGCAACCAATTGATGTTTCTTTCTCACTCCCTTCCACGGTCTCTAAAAAAAAATCAATGGACATATATCCTCGGGTAATGATTAAAAAAAAAAAAAAAAAAAAAAAGGTTGAGATGACATATTCTATGTGTATTTTAAGGCAAAAAAAGACCTAGGGTAACATTATTTCCTCCCACATTTACTCAACTGATGGATTGATGAGAGAGAGAGAGAATTTGTTGTTCTACTTGTTTATGCATTCACTGGTTGTTTCTTGCATGTGCCCTGCTTGGGGAATCTAGCCACAACCTTGGTGTATAGGAACGATGCTCTAACTGAGCTACTGGGCCAGGGTGGTCCCTCCCACATTTAATAAGAAGGAAATGGGGTTCCGAAACGCTGGGTTCTTGACCAATCACATAACTGAATTGACAACTCAGAATCCCAGAAACGGAGTAGAATGTGTGGGCCCTGAGGATAAGCCATGGGAAGATAGGTCTGTCTATCTCTGGAGCGTAGGAATTTGCCTGTACTGCCCCACCTTCTAGCAAAGGCGGGATCGGATATGAAGCTGATATCTTAGGAAGTAAGGCTGCCCTATCCTAACTGTATGATTCATGAGGGATATCGCCACCACCATTCTAACCACAGCTTCACACAGCCCACACTGATGCTCAATAAAACATGCCCACTACACGTGCTGGGAGTGTCCTCATTTTCTAGCTGTGGCCATGGAGAGGTGCACTTGTCTTCTTATATAACGTGCCAGAACTCACACATCAAACAAAGGCTGTGCTTACAAACAGCAACAACACACTCCAAAAGTACTGCCATCGCTCCAAACATCTGTGCAATCGCTTTCATTCTGCATTAAAAGGCCTCATTGTTTAATTGTTGTTGTTAATGCTCACCAGAGGGTATTTTTTCCATTGATTTTTATAGGCAGTAGAAGGGAGGAGGGAGACACATTGTTTGGTTGCCTCCCACAGGAGCCCTGCCCAGGACCAGGGATGAACCTACAACCCAGGTATGTGCCCTTGACCAGGATTTTAACCCTTGAGTCTTTGGCACACAGGCTGACCCTCTAATCGCTGAGCAATACTGGCTAGGGCTCGTTGTTTCCGTTTTTACCAAGAAAGATGTATTTGCAACTTTTA